AACTTGAGTTCAGGGCCAGCCAAGTGGCGCGATGGTTAAGAACTGGCTTGGGACGCCAGAGGGCCCCAGTTCAGATCCCACATATGAGGGCCAGTGACACTGCCCTCTACAGCTAAGATGCTGAACAACAGCTCAACCTGGAGCTGGGCTGCTGTGAGTTGCAGGCGAAGGCGTAGGCTGCAGCCCCTGCTGCAGTGCGTTACCACGGGCTACCGTGTGTAGCCAGCAGCCAGCATGAGCGGCCAGCAGCTGCAGTGAGCGGCCGTCCAGAAGCCGGCGACTGATCTGCCTCGCCCGGGAAGAGCGCAATGATGGTGCCAACTTGGGCCAGTGAAGCAACGTCCTCCATAAATAGACTGAAGAACAAAAGGACAGCAACTTGTCTGTTCCCCTTCCCCCAATTCCCCAGCGCTGTTCCCATCCCCCAATTCCCCAATAAAAATCTTTTTAAAAAAATAAAAAAATAACTTTATGTAATTTCCTTTTTTCCCCCTCAAATTTTGGGCCCCAAAATTAAGGTGCATCTTAAACATGGGAGCATCTTATACATGGGGAATTACAGTATTTAGTTATAGCATAATTGCTTTCCTTATATTTAAAGTGCCTTATCTTATACTTCCTTATATTGAAATTGCCCCCTATTTAGAGGCAATTAAAAAGGCATCTGATTAACACGAGAAAGGCTACAAATATCAATCTAATTCAAACTTGAATTTTGGTTAAAGATGATGTGTAATACTACTAGAGTTCAGTCATCCTTTAAAGTTACCCCCCAAAAATATGGAAGCAGTATTGTTATTTTTATGCTACTACCTTTACCCACATATGAAAAATCTGAAAACATGAGTCTGGGCCGAGCAGGGGAACAGGCATTTAAAGAGCAATTATAATTTATCCCACGTAGGTAATTATGAAAATCATATAAAAAGTAGTGTGCTTTTCATTCTTGCAAGTTTTAATAGAAGAACCCCTTCCTGGTTTTCAATTAATAGTCAGTAACCATATTCTAAATACAAAATTCATTTTTACAAACTATTGAAGACATGCTGCTAAGAGATAGCGTGTGCTCCATAAAATAAATAATCACCTACAAGTTTCAACTTTGGAGCTCTAAATCTGTCAGCAATAGCCACTGATGCCATTACTCAGAAGATCTGTCTATAACTGTTTCATAGAGTATCCACAATATGAAAGCTGACATACAATACACAGAATAGATAGATGTCAGAGTCAATGAAACATTAGTAATCTATTAATACGCTAGCAAAGTAAGGCCTCACGACTCAGATCTTTCAGTTAACTGGACTCCTTCCAGGATTCTACTTAGCTATAAAGAGTCAAAAGATTTTTTAAATGAGCTACTGGTAATTACTAAGAGCTATAGTAACCAAATAAAAGAGTTCATACTTTTTAAAGATGTCCTGCAGTCATTTCAGTTTTAGCCCAATATCCCCTATTATCTACATCTACAAGCCTGTACAATGCGAACTGCTATTAATAGATACGATGCTCAGGCATAACAAGAGGTTCAATTATCAGAGTAAGATAGGATTATATTTGAATATTGCCTTTCATTATTTAAGCTTTCACCAAAGTTTCACCAAAATATATCATTACCCAGAAATTACAAATAATAAATTGTATCAGCGATTTTAAGGTCATTTACTTTTTGTCAAGCATCTCAAAGACATAGAAGGCAAACCGAATCAATGTTGGGGTAGAGAGGAAAGCGTTTCAAATTGAAGAGAATGATGAACTGCATCAAATGCTGCTAATAGGGCAATTAAGATGAGAGCGGAGAACTGACCCTGGGGTTCAGCAGCTTGAAGGTCTCTGGTGACACTCATAACAGTTTGGATGGAATAGCGGGATGGAAGCCTGGCTGGAGTGAGTTTAGCAAAGAAAGTGACAGGCGAGGATTCAGAAGTAATGAATATAAACAAAATTATTGGGAGGTGTTTTGCTTCAAAGGAGAGTAAAAACAGAGCCGTAGCTGGCAAGGGAGGTAAGGTCAAGAAAAGGTTTTGTAAAATGAGACAGGTTGTTTGTACGCTGCTGGGAATGGCAGAAGAGAGAGGAGAAAATTGCTGGAGCAATGTCCTTGAGTAGGTGAGAAAGACGGAACCTCGTACACAGGTGGAAGGACTGGAACATGAAAAGTTCACCTATGGTGACAGGCAGACAAACTATGAGTGAAGACACTACAAGTTAGGTGGACATATATGGTGATGGAAGTCCTCTTCTCGTGGCTTCAACTGACTCGGTAAATGAAGCAGCAAGATCATCAAGCAGAGAAAAAAGTTGGGTAAGAGTTCTGAGGATTGAGCAGCAATGTAAAAGTGCGCAATAGGCATCTCTGAGCACAGCTGAGGGAATGGCGTGGGGACATAAAAAATTATTTTCTGAAAACATAAGGGCCTACGTGGGGCTTTGGAAAAGGAATCTTTCAGAATCATAATTAGGGCAATAGTGGATTAGAACAGACAAAATCCGAAGGACAGGAGGAAGGCCAGTTAGGAGGCTATTTTAGTAACCCTACCAGAAACAGCTAGAGAGGAATATTGTCCAAACTAGGGCAAGAGCAGCTGGAGAACAACTGAGGAAACAGATGTAGGAGTCATTGCAAAAGCAGAACAATGGGATCTGGCAAGCAATTAAAAGTGACTGAGAAAACCAATGGAGTAAAAGGTGGCACGAAAGGGTCAAGCTTAAGGGAACTGGAGTAGGGCAACTCCATGATGAACTCAAGGAGCTATTTCAGTACTGGAAAAATGAGTAACCAGTTGGTCAGCAGATTAAAGCGGTACGCACAATTTGAGTGAGGTTTGAGTGAAGAGAAGAAAGAAAATTCGGAAAAAGTGTGAACAGTAATCAAGGAATGTTTCTGTTGTTATCATCGTTGTTGGGGTGATTAAAATAAGATATCCAAAGGGCACCTATGTGATCTGGAAATACTGGCAACTGAAGAAAGAACAGAAATTTGCCTGATAAAGAAAGGGGGTTCAACAAACATTTATAAAGGTATTTATACAGAAAGCCTATATGCCAGGCACTATTCTAGGAATATCATAATCTCCTTTAATCCTTCCTAAAGAGAACTGGATGAGGCAGGTCCTTTTATACCTTTGTTGCAGTTAAGGAAAATAAAGAGTAGAGAGGTTATAGAACCTTTGCAAGGTAATGTGACTAATGGCACAGCCAGAAGTCAAATCCAAGTCGGAATAACCCCCAAGTCCAAGTTCTTAACCACTACACAATGCATACTTTGTAAAATTCAGAGCCTAGGGGAGGTAGCATGTCTTATTAAGCTTCTGAGGGCAATTTCAGAGTTAAAGATTTTACACAGGTGGAACCATTCCAAAGAATGACACAGCCCAAGGTGTAGTCATGCCTGTAATTAGTTAAATATATAGATGCAGAGGTCAGAGTTTAGAAAACCAAGAAACTAAGAGAAAAAAAGCATGGGGCTATCGATATAATAGTTGAAATCACCAAAATGAATAGCAAGGGAAAAGTCAAAAGGATAGCCAGGTGCCATTACCATCAAGGAAGGTCAGCAGGTAATAGATTTCACAAGGGGAGGGGTTGTTGAAAGATGATTCAAAGAACACAGCATGGAAAGAGCAGCTGGAAAAAGAGTGTGCGAGGGTATATACCGTGGGATGAGAAGGAAGGGCCAAAGAGGGTGGGACTGTCAGGACGTATGTCAGGGGGGAAAGCCAGATGCCAGCTGTGACTAGATAGGAGGAACAGTCAAGGACAAGTTGAAAGATAAAGGGAATTTAACAACTTTCAACGGATTATTTATTGAAAGTCTATTAACTCTTCTGTGCACAGGAGGGAAATAGCGGGGGTGGGGAGAGGGATCGTGACAAGCTGCTGCATAATGAGCAGAGAAGGGTCTAGGTTTTCAGTGACTCTTAACCTTTTATTTTGGCATGGGTGAAGTGACCTTTGAAACCCCTGTGACCTCTAACTTCAGCTAAATAGACATCCCTCCCCCGAAAAGTATCGCACAATTGTTAAGTGGGATAGAATTGTAAATGAATGAAACATGAGTCAGGACCTCCAGTTCTGCTCTGCTCAAGTAAACCAATGTAATATGGCCCAATGCCTCATCTCTCCCCTCTCCTACCATAAACTACTAAATGTTCAAAATGTTATATTTATTATCTAAGAAATAATCTAGAGCATGGGTCGGCAAACTGCTACTCACGAGCCACATGCAGCTCTTTGGGTTCGTTCCATCTCAGAAGTTTGCCAACCCCTGGAAGAGCCAATCCTGTCCCTCACAACAATTGAAAAATTAGTCGAGAGCCATGAATATATTTTTACGTAATCACCATTATGTGAATAATATTCCTTACAAATTTTATAAATGAAACTATGATAGTTTTATTTTCATTTTCAATTTTACTTCAGAGCCTGCAGCTCGCGAGCCACAGTTTGCTGACCCCTGGCAGCTCTAGACCACAAGCTTTAAAATATAAGCAACATGCTAGGAAATGTTGCTTGTATGACTTAGTAATAGAACAAACTTGGAGGAATTAATTCCTCTGTCCCCACTACTGTTTTCATATACCCTCTTACCTCCCAACTCTATTTCATATACCCAGCAAGATACCCTGTGCAGCAAAGAGGACTTAGGCCTGTTTTACTTTGTGGAAATAGCAACACTAATTAGTTAATTGAAAAAATGATTCGATGTACCAGAGACTACTAAATACTAGAGAACCAAAGTAAATAAGACAGCCTCCACTTTCAGGAGCTCATACTTGGAAGAGATACAAGGGTAAGAGTGTTTAGAGATAGATGGGTATGACTGTTTAGCTCAAAAAACAGATACTTTTTGAAAGTAGGTCTGCTGTATCAACACGTTTCTAGTCTCTCCTTTACATGATATAAACACAGCCCATACAAACACACCTACTTAAAACCCAGTGCTATTCTGGGCACATGCATTTTTAAATTACAGAAAAAAAGGGGGGGGTCTACCTTACCATCATTTTCTCAAAGAGATCCAGTACTTCCTTTTCTGACAAATTCAAAGATCGTTCATCATATAACGGCTGAGCTGCTGGAAATTCACTCATCGCAACTTGAGAATCAATAGGATGTTGAATAAGAAGTTTTTCTTTTTTGACAGTAGATTTTCTAAAACTTGTAATTCGGTCACGCTGCAAAGAGAAAAAAATAAGCGCTAAGAAAGACATCAAGAATCACGGACATGAAGAACTGAAACATCAAAATGGCACTTAGTATAATGTACATCATTATTGTCTTTTGACAAAAGGTTATTTTAAGCAGCAAGCTCCACTTAGAAATTGTACTATTTTGAAACCTTGAAGCAGCCCTTCAGCCTCAGCAGTCTGGGCGGTAAAAAGAAAGGTATGCCTCAAAAGTAAAACTTAGTCCCTTGTCATCTCTGTTTTGCACAGGAAGTACATGAAAAAAGTCCTGCATCGAAGTCATGTGATTTTTTTCAGAGAGAATGTGTCCTTGTTGGCAACTTTCGAACTATGAGAAAAAGAAAAAAGAAAAAGAGCTCCCGATACCCAATTCTAAGGGGAAATAAAAGTAATGCTTCTCTTCTTCAAAGTGCCAAAAATTGTGACAAGTATCTGTGAATTCTTTGTCAGTGTAGCATTAAGAGCACAGACTCTAAAGCCAGGCTGCGTGGGTTTGAATCTAACATTTACTAGCTGAGTAACCCTGTGCAAATTAGTTGGTCTCTCTCTGTTTCCTCATCTCTAAAATAGGAAAAATGACTTAATGTACATTACATAAATAAATAATGGTATTACCTACACCCACAGGGTTACTGTGAGATTTCAATAAGTTGATAACATTTAATGTACTTAGCTGCTATTTATTATTATTGTTGCTACTACTATTATTATTTCCCCCCACCTTCTTCTTCCCTAAAAGGTGGGACCAACAAGGTAACACCTTTTCCATTTACTGGAAACACAACATAAACAGAAATATCTTAATCCTACAAATATTATTATGAAGAGCTTGCTATTTAGTGGATATTGACACTGAACCATTGATTCCCTGTACAATCTCTAATAATTAACTTACTATTTCACATCAAGTGTATTAACAACTCCGGTTGCACATAAACAGGCCATTCTGTTTTAAACCACAAAATATTAGGCATCAAAAATTAGTAATGACCATAAAACTGAATGCAACTCAGTTTTATTCTGGTTTCTGTTAGGAAGCACATGCATATACCATCAGCTCCAGTTAAACAAGCAGATGCGTTAGATGCGAGGACAACGCATCTTCACTGCGATATTACCAAGGCCTTATCAATGACTTCAACACAAAAAGCATCACAGAAGTTATTGCCATAACTTATGTAAATTTCCATTGACCCCCCATTAAAAAAACATACTTTTCATTTTGATTCAAAGAACACTTTTTTTTTAATTAAAAGGTGTACTTTGAAAGAAATAGCAGTTTTAAGCAGCTTATTTAGGATTACAAAAATAATTTTAGTATATGGTTGCTTACAAAAGGGTTATATAAATCGTAATATTTTACAGTGGGAAGAAATCTGAAAAGTCATCAAGACCAGCTCTGTCGTTTCATAGAAAAAGCGACTCGCTAAATTCTTAAGTCCCTGGTTCCATGCCAGTGCACTTAAGATTCATTTCTTCAAATCATCTTGAACTGTATTTTCAAATTTGAACTCTTTGAGGAAAATTAAGTTGGTTTAGATATGTAGTATATCTTCAAACAACTCAAGAAAAAATAGTAAGCAATCCCAAATAAGCTGAGTACATATCCAACAGGCAAATTTCACTAAAAGATATGGTGGACATAAAAGCATTTAAATATGTAATCAAGCATTAAATCAACATATCTCTGTTCCTGTCTCTTCATATCACTTACTATTTACTTTTGCAGGGCTAGCTTTTATGCTGAGTAGCATTATTTACATATATATTTGATCTTCCACTATGCCCTTCATTTCTATCTAGAAAACTGGCTTTCGCTTTCAGCTATATCTTGATAAAAAAACGCAGTTAAGCCATATACTTTCACCTCCTTAAATTACTAACAATATTTTACATTATTTGTGGATAAGTAATTTCACCAAGTAAAAAACTGACACTACTTAAAATCCCATTTTTTAAAGTTTAGCTATAAAAGGGCACATTTAAATTTTGAAGCCCATAACTTTTAATAAGTTTTATTATGATAGACTCACCTTGAATATATTTAAGGATTTTAAATATCTGACTAACATAATGAAGTTAACTTCCTCGCTATTTTACATTAATTTCTTTCAATATTAATATTAATATTTAACATATTCACAGTCAATTCACCTCTCTATCAAAAAAGGAAACATCTGTGTTTTCCAAAGTGAGGTTGACATAGAGATTTACAAAAAATTTAGTTAGGGTGATAATATCAAAATTTTGTTAAGATTTCATAATTATTAATATTCAAAATGAGAAAAGTCACTCTTCATAATTCTTCCATTCTACTGTGCTTTGTAAACATCCATTTTCTGTCTTACATATATCAATGCTTTAATGTCCACTCACTTTAATAAAAAAGGCAACGTGCATAAGTAATATAACATGCTACTGAGGCCACCTTACCACATCATCTGCCAAAGTTTTTATTTGAATGTTCTATTAAAACCAAAAGAAAAAAAACCCTGTCAATAAGAGTAATTCATAGATAAAACAAGAAAATAATAGTTGATAAAATAAAAAACGAAAATCATTCAATTATCACTAGTTAAAAAGAATTAGAGGGCCGGCCGAGTGGCGCAATGGTTAAGAACTCGCTTGGGATGCCAGAGGGCCCCGGTTCGGATCCCACATATGAGGGCCAGTGACACTGCCCTCTACAGCTAAGATGCTGAATGACACTGCCCTCCACAGCTAAGATGCTGAACGACAGCTCAACCTGGAGCTGGGCTGCCATGAGTCGCCGGCGACGGCGTAGGCTGCACTCCCTGTGGCAGTGGGTTGCCATGGGCTACTGTATGTAGCCAGCAGCCAGCGTGAGCGGCCAGCAGCCGCAGTGAGCGGCCGTCCAGAAGCCGGCGACTGATCTGCCTCGCCAGAGAAGAGCGCAATGATGGTGCCAACTTGGGCCAGTGAAGCAACATCCTCCACAACTAGATTGAAGAACAAAACGACAGCAACTTGTCTGTTCCCCTTCCCCCAATTCCCAGCACTGTTTCCATCCCCCCAATTCCCCAATAAAAATCTTAAAAAAAAAAAAAAAGAATTAGAAAGTTTCAACATATAAAAAAGTACTTTTTTTTTACATAAAAAAAAAACTTTTTAAGGATGACAAATGAAGGTTTGGTTAGGGGAGGGTCTTTTTGTTTTTAAAGATGACAACCATGATCCCAAAATCACATTTGCAACAGACATCTTGACAACAGTGCTCAAATAAGAGAAAAGATATGGCAGTCATAAGCCCTTTCAAGTTTTTTCAGTTTTAGAATAATCATGTTTTTACAATACATACATTTTTTAAATATATGAACAATTGGAAAATGTCATATTTAATAGTAATGAAATATAATAAAACAGCTCAGTCTAGAACTCTGTTACATCTGATGGATATTTAAATATTGTAGATAAAAATGAATTTACTGATTCTATTAAAATTTGCCCATTTCTTAAAAACTCCAACACTTTTTTTTTTTTGCATTTGGTTTTCTACTTCTAATGCTGAGAATCACTGGAAATGGTGTACTCGAGTTAAGCAAATACAGTGGTTAATGAAAACTACCACATAACACATGGGCACCATGATATGAAGAATTAGAATACAGCAATACTAAAGTAATAAAGCAATACGTAAGTAAAGTGAGCCAAGGTATATCTAATAATTGAGTAATATTTCGTGATTCAGAAGACACTTCATTCAATACCTTACAGTAACATCTGATCAGCATGAAGGGTAGTTATTATTATATTATAAACATGTTGAAGTGCCAACTAAGAGGCATGATTAGAAAAGAAACAGTTTTGTTTAAACTGCCTATTAGGCATTGAAATTAACCCTTCAGCTACATCCTGTACGTTTATTTCCTACAACGGAAGCTCCGTGATGTGCATCAACTTGGTCATGCGTGCTCACATCCCTTTTTATTAAGAAAAATACGGTCTTTTTACTGGTGGAGAGAATTCCATTATGAATTTTAAGTAAGTGAGAATTATTGATCTCAGGATCTCATCAAACTGTCTTGAAATACCACCAGCCAAATGCTGTTAAAGATCATCCTGCCCTGGATCAGCTGGGACAAATACACTATTAAATGTACAGTTCATTTTCTCCTTTTAATCCAATGATACCCTCAGGGATCTATACTTCTACATCTTTGTCTTCATCCCATCCTACTGACACAGACCCCAATCACTCTTTACTGCCTAGGAAAAATAAAAGAGAGAAGATTATTTATATCAGAACTGAAGCCATTTTAAGAGAGATCAATTCACCCCAGGACTATCTCGAGCTGGTGTTTTCTCTTTAATTTTACCAGTGGGTTACAGAAAACTGTTTTATGTACAATGACAAACTTCATGATGTCCTATAATGTAAAATCAAATGTCAAAGTCTCAAAAGTGCCTCAATTAGCCTGCTACCATCCGGATATGGATGTGCCCACCTGTGCTATTATTATACAGTTTTTCAAGCAACTCCTGCTTTGCTTTTCTTCTTGTCCTTTGGGGATATAAAATCAAGATTGGAAACACATCTATATCTTCAAAGCGAGAATGTAAATTAGGGGAAAATATGATTTGATTTGGTCAAATTCTCTAAGTTAAGGTACACATATGTCTGGAATGCTTTAAATTGATATTTTGGTTGAATATATGTTGACAGATTAATCATGGGAGACAGAAACAAGAAAAAAAAGTATTGCTGGCAATAATTCGACTTTCTTTTATGGGAAGAGACTTGAGTATTTTTCTTTTTAAAATTAACATAGTTTTGTCCATATTAAATCACACATTATGGAGTCAGAGACTATTAAAACTGGGTAGAATGTGAGATCATCTGGTCAAAACCTTTCATTTTACAAATGATGAGACTGAAGCTTGAAGAGAATGACTGACTTGCCCACGGCCCACAGATCTGGTTATTACTAGATACTAACTCTTAGTCAACACGATCTTTTCAGTGAACATTATTAACCTCTAGGATGTTAGAATTGAGTTACTGAATTGAAACAGCTCATGGTAACCTCAAATTCACAGGGACTCCCTTTGGGTAACTGCCTTTTGCCATCATTACCCCGGGGGTCATGCATTGTCCCAAAGAGCATTCCTGTGGCACCCCCAGTCCTTCCCCAACGCATCTGACATGTCATCTACTGAACTCACTTTGACCAATATATTTTACGTTCTTCAAGTGGCTAATTAATCAGCTATTTACCATATACAAAATACATGCAAATCTATAGACTTTTCAGTCTTTCATAATTCTTTAATTTTACCTTCCTAATTAGTCCTTAATACTGCCACAATTCTAAGAAGCAGACGACTTCTAGGTGGGTGGCAGGAGGGGACAAATGGATATACAGTTAATAACCCAACGGAAACACTACATGAGCACAAAGGGGGCAAAATGTTGTCTCAGAGGGTCAGGACAGACTTTCAAAACCAACCTAGGGTAACATTTATGTTAGTGGCACCATCTGCATTCCATTTATCCAGGATGAAGACTTCCTGTCACCCTCCCTTCTTCAACAGCCTCCTAATACAGACCTCGGCTTCCAGTCTCTCCTCACTGCCAGTTACCTTGCTAAAACAAAGATCTGGTTCAAGCCACCATCACCTCTTACCTAGGTTTCCAGAATAACCTCCTAACCTGTCTACCTGCTTCCACCTTACCCTCCTACGCTTCGTTTTGAACACACCAAATTGATACTGTTCAAACCAAAATCAGATCTTGTCACTCCTCTGCCCAAAACTTTCCAATGGCTATTTTCACTCCGAGAGCAAGTCAAAATCCTCACCGTGGCCTACAAGGCCCTATCGATCTGCACACTCTCTATCCCTCTGACCTCATCTATTATCATCCCTTCCATCCGCTCAGCTCCAGTCCGACTGATCACCTCAGTGTTCCTCAGTGAGGCGATCAGCCACACGCGCCCACTCTTCCCTCTGCCTGGAATGCTCTTCTCCATTATCCATATGACTTACTCCAGCACCCCCCGCACCCCCGCTTTTGAGTTTTTGTTCAGTGAGGCCCACTCTATCCATCATATTTGAATGGAAACACCCACCTTGTCCGCACACTCCTAACCCGCCGTACTGTGCCCTGCCTTTTCCTTGTTTCAGGAAACTTGCCACATTTTAACATCGTGTGTAGAGCATTGCTTATGAACACAAAAATGGACCCTAATAATTCTATTGGCTGTGTCAGTCACAAAGTGGCCGTGATGCCAGAGCATCCCGTGAAAGGTGTACCCAGTGAACGGCCTAACCGGGTAACTCCAGACGCAGGGTGGAGTATGACCATCTGGAAGGCTTTATCAGACTGCAGATGGGTGCACCGCACCCAGCCTTGAGCATAAAATCAGAGCTCTCTGACAGCTCCTCTCTCAGGCCTCAACCAACAGCTGACAGCCGCAGCAGCGCTTGTCCTAGATGGAGCCCTTGAAGCCTCGCCTCCTGACCGTCTCACCAGCCCAGCCTGAGGCCTGATGCCCGACGCTCCGCACCCCAGCGCCCTAAGGACTGTTGCTGAACACTGGACTCTCTCATCCTGCTTTCATAAGACTCTGTTTGCCTTGCCTAATACTATTGCTTGCAAACCTGTGTGACCCTCTTGCGTGAAACCGCTCTAACTCGACTATTGGAGGCTATCATCTGGCCGGAGCCGTGGTTTATGCCCATGGTAAACCGAGTCAGCAGGACTAGGTCCATGGCTTTATTCTACTAAAGTCTGCCTTTGTGGAAAGACACAAACGTGTGTGAGACTGCTACTTTGGTAGCCACGTCCCACTCACGACACAGTCTATAATTTACTTTATTATTTTTTTGTCTGTTTCTTCCACTAAAAATGTGAGTTCCATAAGAATAGGGATATTCGGGCCGGCCATGTGGTTTGATGGTTAAGAGCTGGCTTGGGACACCAGAGGGCCCCGGTTCAGATCCCACATATGAGGGCCAGTGACACTGCCCTCCACAGCTAAGATGCTGAACAACAGCTCAACCTGGAGCTGGGCTGCCGTGAGTCGCCAGCCCGGTGTAGGCTGCAGCCCCTGTGGCAGTGGGTTGCCATGGACTACCGTGTGTAGCCAGCAGCCAGTGTGAGCGGCCAGCAGCCACAGTGAGCGGCCGTCCAGAAGCCGGCGACTGATCTGCCTCGCCCAGGAAGAGCACAATGATGGTGCCAAATTGGGCCAGTGAAGCAACGTCCTCCACAACTAGACTGAAGAACAAAAGGACAGCAACTTGTCTGTTCCCCATCCCCCAATTCCCCAATTAAAAAAAAAATCTTTAAAAAAAACAAAAACAAGACAAACAAACAAAAAAAGAATAGGGATATTCATCTGTTTGGTGCAGGGATTTCCCCTCATGCCTAGAGCAGCACTTGGCACAGGCACACAGAAGCACAATATTATAAATGACCATCACACACCTGGTCATAGGCAATG